CTTCCTTCCTTCCTTCCTTCCTTCCTTCCTTCCTTCCTTCCTTCCTTATCAATCACTCCCTGCTATCTATCCTTCTCTGCCCCTTTCCCTTCTTTCTCCTCTCCCTCCCTCCATCCTCTTTTCTCCTTCCCTCCCTCCTACCCTCCCTTCCTGCCATCCTTCCTTCTCTGTTTCATCCTCCCTTCCTCGTCTGAAGGGGAGATTTTCCTCCACGGGAGAAGGCGTTTTTCAAGGAGAATTAAACACTCAATCAAATCCTACACGCAGGGGGCATCTTGCAAACTCTTGCTCAGCCAGTGTCTATGTTGTTATTAAAACCTGTGTGTGATTTCTTGTGGTTGTCCGAAAGTGTAATATTTATAGAGCTGTTTTCAAATGAAGAATTATTTATATGTCATTTATGCAGGGACGCAGAGACGGCGCGATCCCAACCCTCGCGGCTTGCTGGCGCTGCTCCAAAGGGCGGGAGCGGGCGGGGGGGGGGCAGAGGGGGGGGAGACAGACATTCAAAACTTGGCGAGACGAAAAAAGGGAAAGAAACTGGGCCAGGTTTAGTTCGCGGCATAAACGGCGTTTTGGGTCCTTTCAAACCACCTATCCTCCTATCCCCAGTTCCCGGCGTTGCTCTTTCTTTCTTTCTTTCTTTCTTTCTTTCTTTCTTTCTTTCTTTCTTCCTTCCTTCCTTCCTTCCTTCCTTCCTTCCTTCCTATCTATCTATCTATCTATCTATCTATCTATCTATCTATCTATCTATCTCTTAATGAATTTATAATATTTATTGGCCGCCCATCTTGCCCTAGGATAACTCTGGGCGGCTTACGATCATAAAGGATAAAACTTGCATAAAACTGAAATAGTAAATAATACAAAGCCATTTAAAGATGGTGCGAGTGGAAGCAGGATTTATTTTATAAATAAACAAATGCTTAACCATTCACCGGGGAAATTAAATCTACTGAGTGGTCCAGTCCCCCCACCGCCCACCGCCCACCGCCCCCGCCCCCATTTTAGAGCTGCGGAGGGAATTTCGCGTTTCTGTTTCACTGAATGTGAAAAAATAATAATTGCTCTTTGGGCAGCGGGGCGCCTGGGCGCTCGCTGGACCCTCCTTGGAACCGCCTGGTCTCCCCGCACGCCCCACATCTCCAGAAACTCCCCCCCCCACAAAAAACCCCCCTTCAGCCACATCCCACCCACTTTGCTTCCGCGGGTGGGAAGCGTAGTCGCCGCCTCCGCTTGCCCGAAACCGGGGCTGGAAGTGAGGCGGAAAAAGAAGGCAAAGCGGAAAAATTCGAGGGTCGGAAAAAGTGAGGCGGGGAAGGAAGGAGGGTGCCCCCAAGTCCCGAGCCCCACCCTCCTCCCTGCCCCCGTTCATGGTGCGGAGGGGAGGTTTCCACCAGGAGCACTGGATGCCCCCCGCCCCAAGGAAATGGGGATGCATTGAAGGGGCCTCTCAAGCCGCGGGACAGATTGAACGCCAAAGCGCGCGGGGCATTCTGAGCGATGGGAGAAGGTTTGGGAAACGCTGGCTTAAGAGGAAGATAGACTGCACCTATCTGAAGCTGCTTGAATATGCCCCGACTAGATGGCCTTAAGGATTTGCGTTCCAGCTTTGGAGGTTTTGTCCAGCTCAAGGGACCTTTTAATACACCCAGACTGTTTCTGCCCTTCGAGGGAGAGGTTAGAGTCTTCAGACGTTTCTGTGGCAATTTCCTCTTCCGTATTTACTCACTGGTGCTTTTGCCCAATGGTTTGCAAAATAATACCATAATAATAATAATTAATAATAATAATAATAATTAATAAATAATAATAATAATAATAATAATAATAATAATAATAATAATAATAATAATAATAATAATAATAATGATGATGATGATGATAGTAATAATTCTGGAGGTGGATTTAATTTGAGGAAAGAATCTGAAACGGATGAATCTGGAAGAGGACTAAGAAACATTTTTTTTCTTCCCTATTTATTTATTCAAGTTCCTCTATGATCCAAATGATTTTAAAACAGGGACGCCAAATAAACATTAAACAGGTTTACTTTGTGAGAAAAGTAGGCGAGTCTTCGCTGAACGGCATTAACCTGTTATAAAGAATATACAACAGTTTCAGTTTCTTGGCCATCGCTAACATCTTGCCTTTTTTGACCCAACCTTGGGAACCCCCCACTAGCTTAGCTTAGCGCCTTTCCCAGGGAAAGTTTTTTTTTTTTGAAAGGCGTGAGAACAGTTGGTTCTGGAGAATTGCATTGTCTTCGTTATTTTTCCTCTTTGATGGATTCTTCTTTTTAAAGCCAGCCTTTTGCCTTTTATATGATATAATAAAATAAAATAAAAATACAAACGGGTTAGATAAACCCGAGGGAGGCTGGGAGACAGAGGGAAAGGGAGAGAGAGAGAAAAATAGCTGGATAAATAGGCGATGGACGGACGGACGGATATAAAGTTGAATAGGTATAAAATATAGGTTGATTGGTAGATAGGCGGTGGATAGGTAGATAGATGAGATAAAATAGATATAAATAGATCAATAGAAAAATAGCTGAACAAATAGAAAGATGGATGGATGGATAGATAGAAAAGAGAGAGAGGATTCCTGTTTCTTCTTTATAGATGACGCTATAACCCGAATTGTTCCAGATCTTTGATCTGCTTTTCTAGGCCAACCAGACATTGCAAAGTTCCATTTAAAGCTGATATTCGAGGGCCCATGAGACTCAAATTGCTAACATCGAAATAATTCTAAAGAAACGCATCTGTAGCACAGCTGAGATGAGAATGAGGCAAGAAGTCCCAAAGAAGAAGCGCCTGTCCCAAACTTTTCTAATTTTATTCCCGCTTTCCCTGCCAAGCTGGGTCCAGCCCTGCGGGTTCAAACTCCTGCGCCTTCCAGGGGGCTGCGTGGACTTTCTCCCTCAAAATCGGCCCAGATCTTGCAAGCCCCTAACTTTGGGTGGGTCCCATAATGTTTTATTCGCATCAAATAAATGTTGTAGAAAAACAAAAGGAGATCCAAGAAAATTAAAAGTCTCATCTAGGGACCAGGTCAAAACGAAAAACAAACACCGATCTGCTGTTTTTTCCCTCCCAGAGAATAAATAGATCCGGGTTTTCGGTTGGAGCCAAATGCCTGTTCTTTGGTGGTAGTAATTGTGATTATTGTATCATCAATATCATCATGAAGCCCCTCGAGGCAAGCAACCCCCACACTTACGCTACTTTTTTTGTTAATTAAATTACCAATGTTCCCCGCAAATTATTCAATTGCTGATTCAGAATCTTTGGAGAGAGGGGAGGCCAGCAATATCTGGCATTGCTACCACGATTTCTTGCCGGGTAAATATCACAGCAAGAAAATCAGTCTTGTAAATCTCCTTTTTAATAGTGGCATTTATTATTTCAAGGAATATCTGACTTCAGTTTGAATGAATATGTAGAATAATAACTATAACTATTATTTATAATTATCTATTAAACTATTTGCAATTATTATTAACACTAATTATAACTATTACTAATGGTACTAGGAGCCCTTGGAACAATACCCAAAGGGCAGTCTAGTCACATGGATATTTTGAACTTATTAAACCAGAATATTCTGACTTTGCAAAAAAAAAAAAAAAACACCTTACTCAGAACCTGAGAACTCAGCCGTTACCTTAACAGGTTCTTGGTTAGGGCTCGAACTGTTAAGCTTTTACAAATCTCAGACTGAATCGAATTGAAGATTAAAATTTAAATAATAATAATAATGCAATGCCAGCAAGGAATTCATCCTTTTTGTTTTAGTGAAGGGTAAATGTGTAAACTAGCTAAAACTGTCCCGAAAGAAAGAAAGAAAGAAAGAAGGAAAGAAGGAAAGAAAGAAAGAAAGAAAGAAAGAAAGAAAGAAAGAAAGAAAGAA